TTCCCAATTACTTACTAATTGTTACTTAGTAATACGAACATAATACAGTTTTTGAAAAATGTCTGAATTAAATACGAACACATGTATAGTCACGACCATAAACCCAAATTGTATTGTCCTTCTTTTGCAAAAACTATGCAAGGAACAAGAAATAAAAAAAGTAATAAGAATAGAAAAAACAGTACAAATATGCATAAATAAAATGATATATAAAAAAAGAAATAAAAGTTATTATCTATTCTATCTATCATTAAAATGGTATCTTAGTGAACAAATCCAAACTTCTTATGAATACTCACTTGTCACCACCTGTAGTCAATTAGACTATTTAATTTTCATTAAAGCAGGCGATATCCAAGAACATTTAAGGACACTTCCTAAAGAGTATTTCTTAAAACTTTATATTTGAAGACTTTTGACCAGAAAAAATATTAGTTTTCTATTGTTAATTTCTTTACCAAGCCATGTCTTTCTAGAATTATTGCTTTGTTCAACCAGTAGATAGTTTCAAGATCCCTTTCTTCAACCATTTCAGAATAGATATTAATGCTTTAACTTGTTGCCAGATTGGTATAAGATTTGAATCTTGTGATTACTCCTAGTTCTTTAGGTAGAATAAAAAAAGAAAAGGAGCAAATAAAAAGAAAAAACAAAAAGGGGATTGTTTCTTCTTCACTCACAACTTCAATCTTTATCCAGAACTTCCTTACTACTCCTTCAACTAAAAAACCATCCAACTTTTTTAAAACCAATCACATTATCAATTTGGTATTATGCGACTTGGAATATGTGGAAGGACATATCTTGTTTACTTTTTCTATGACTGATGTGATTAACCAATCTATAACCTTAACCAATATCTTGCAGGAAAGTCTGGTGTAACCAAAAATTCAAGGTCAAACTGAGATAGATAAAATTCTTCAGAAAAATCAGAAAAAAGAAAACACGCTTAAAAGAAAAGAAGTATAAAGCCAGAGAGATAATATAAAGGCTGAATGCTTCTTTTTCTTTATTTCTCTGGACTTTTGAACCTTCTGAGGGTTTTTGGAAAGTACTTTTTCTTGTCAGTTTTCTTTCTAGAAAGGTGTTCTTATCATAAATCTTTTGGGTATGTTTTTTGTATTTAGTTGCAAAAATATGCAAGAAGATATTTGAAAAAAAAAAGGAAAACAAGTAGTAGCTGCTGCATACTCTGCTGGTTAAGAAACAAGTATTGTTAAGAAAAGTATATAGACTTTATTATTAGAAAAATATAAAATCTTTTGAGAATGTCTGTTTTTTTTGTGTTGATAAATGGATTAGCGGAAAGAGTTTTTAAGAAGTATATATTTGAAAATTTTTAACTTATAATTATAAAATATATATATAATAATTTATTAAATTGTAAATATATATTAAAAATTATAATAAAAATTTATATTTATTAAAAATTATAATAAAAATTTATATTTATTAAAAATTATAATAAAAATTTATATTTATTAAAATTTATATAAAAATTAAAAATCAAATTATAAAAATATAAATTAAATATAAAATAGAGCTTGTATGGGAGAAAAATAACTAGATTCAAAGCCATATATGACTATTACCTATACTTTAGGTTCTATTTCATATTATTATATTATATTTCTATAAGAATTAAAAAATTATATATATTTTCTACTCTAATAATTAATCTTTGTCTATTTCTACTTTCCATTATTTTTGGAATATTATTATTATTTTTTTATTTTTTATTTTTTATTAATACATATTTTGTTTTTCTTATATTTCTTATAATTTATATTTTTAATAAAACTTCTTTATAATCCATATCTTTAAGTATATTAAGAGTTGAAACATATATTTTTTCATTAATTTTTATAAATAATAAATAAAAATAAAAATTATTTATTATTAGTTTGTAAATATTTTTTTGTGATTTTTTATAAGAATAAATGTTAAAAGAATATTATTATAAAATTGTGTTTTGATTTTAAAATAATTAATTAATTCTTCAATCATATAAATATTTTGTACTGCTTCTCCTTCAGCAAACCATCTTAATAGTATATTAAAGTAACTATTAACAATGTTTCTGCTATGATATTTAATAAAATAATTGAATAAAAATTTTTTGTTATAAATAGAAGATAAATAATTAAAAATAAAATACATTAATTTAACAGAATGAACATGTGTTTCAAATTAAACCAAAAACAAATTTCATATAATTGCAATATAAAAGAATTAAAAAGAAGTTTTTTAATACAATTAGTTACAAATAATTAATCATGATTTAAAATTTTTGAAAAATAATTAAAATATTAAGTTTGAATTATATTATTTTTATTTTTATAAAAAACAACAAATCCTAAAAATAAAATTTATATTTTTTCATAAAAATCTTTTCCAATTTCAATTGATCTACTACCAATTTTAAAATTTTCTTTAAGGTTCATAACAATAATACAAGAAGTAATTGTTGTTAATTCAAGAGAATTTTTATAAAACTCATATTGTTAAGTTTTAAAATATTTAATTATAATAATTTAATATAATTTAATAATTAATTGATTTCAATTTAATTGCAAAAACAAAACAAAATAAATATATTATTATTATCATTATTATTATTATATTAAAAATTTCTAAATAATTTTTTATAAAAAAAATAAATATTAAATTATAACAATTAAATAATAATAATAATTTGTTGTAATATTTAATGAAAAAATTATAATTAAATATGGTATAAGTGACATCATTAATAATTGACAATGAAATTAACAAAAGGTATCACCTATATTAACTTTTTGAATTATTAAACAACAATTAACTACTGCAGCCTAAATAAAATGTTTGTGTAATATACTAATATACACAATAACTTTATTTCATAAAATGGATATTTAAATTTTCCTTATTTGGTAATTGAAAAACATTGTTTTCCCGCATTGCATCTCTAATAAATCTTATTATTATAAATCTTATCCTAACAGTTATACCGTATATGAAAAGAAATGGATTGTGGACCATTACCCTACTTTCCTTGGCTTATTATTAAGTCACGATGATCAAATTCCAGCAAAGGGGTTATCTTAAGGTATCTTATATAGTACATATAGAACATCATATGTTTACATTGGATCTTTCCAAGACTCCAAAAATTCTTTAACTTCTTCTTGTGAATAATTCCATTCATCAAGTAATGTTAACTTCTGTAATTTTTGCGATCCATAATTCAACAATATGTCGAATACAGGTTTGACTAGAGGAGCTTTATCATGTTCGCCTCCTAACTTTCTTCCACTAATTGTAATCTCTTCTAGACATTCACAAGTTCTAATCAAGTTAAGTAATTCTACAACGACTTCTTCCGTGTAGTAAATGGAAACAACTTTAAGTTCCAGGCAGGATCTCGAAATTGCTTTAATGAACAGCGAGAAGCATTCCGTCTTTTGAAGATAATGAGACGATACTATTTCAACTTTTTTCAATTTCCCTTGAGTTCTTTCAATCAATCCGGCGTAAATATCCAAGGGCGGATAATCATCGTTACACATTATATATAAATTCTGTAGGTTGGGTAGTGTCACCGACTTCAAAGGATTTAAGTCATAGTGAGTATCACCATCGAGAGTAATATTTAGTTCCGAAAGTTTGACAAAGGAATTAAACACAGCCGAAGAAAAGCTGAGACTATTTTGAATATTTAATGTTTCTAAATGAACTTGTGCTGCCAAAGCCTGTCCTATTTCTACGCATATGCTGCCATTCATTGATATACATGTCACTTCAACCAGTCTTTTCTGAGAAGTGATAAGTGCTGCCAATCCACAGTTATCCTCATCACATGATATACATAGATACTGAATATTGTGACAAATGAGTGCCAATTCTTTAAATAGGCTTGGTGATTTAAAAGTCCAACATTCAAGCTCCGTCAAAGACTCTAAGCATTTAATTGCCCCAGGATATTTGCTAATCGAAATACATGGAAGTTCCAAAAGCTTGATGGATGAACATTTGCTTAAGAAAAACTTCCAAAGTTCTCTATTAAACACGGCAATGCTTGCCTTGATTACTATAGACTCATCAATTCCAAATAGTAATCCATCAATAATTGATGCTATAACTGTGTCTGATATATGCTGACAGTATGTTACGTAATCAAACATTGGACGGGGTTGACTGGGAGGGTATAAGAACAAAATTGATTTAACTTCTTTGGGGAGACAAGACACAATAGTCCTAATTATCGCCGTCCAAAATACTGAACTTGCCCGGAATCTACCACGCCATTGCCAAGGGTATCTCCACAATAATGGCACGGCTAATTTCGACCAACGTTTATTGATTAATATACAATTATGGAGTGTTTTAGGATAGAGATTTGCGGTTTCGATATAAATATGTTCCAAGATTTCGATCACACAATCGTCTGGAAGGTGTGGACAGATCATGTTATTCATTTTTTTTTCTCGCAATTTATATTAAAGAAAAAATCTCCCTTGTTTTCTCTTTCTTAAGGATAGTGATAGAGAGTACGCATAAACTCCTGGGGGCATAAACTAATCTAGCAAACACGAGATTTTTTGACATATACCCCCCGAAATTAAACAAGCGCAAACATCGGGATGATCAAACTTTTCGATGCGTAACGTTTATCTTCTGAATTGAACCAAAATTCATTGAGTTTTGTGTGATTCGTTTATAAACGGTTTTTCTGATTGAACGGCCAATCAAGACACCGATTATATAATCTAAATGAGTTTGGTGCACAGTAAAATTCGCGGATTTTACCCGCTGTATGATTTCTGTTGCACGACTCATGACTCTGGTACGTACGTGTTTCACAGTGGGATAGTTGGGGTATTTCGCCATATCATTAACCAAATTTATTAGAGTTTTGGACTTCAATCGCATCTATTCTTAATGTGGTTACTAATTCTCCAGGACTGAAGTATTTAACCTACAATAGACGGCATTCTTTATTTGTCATAAACAAGAAAAAACAGGAATTTTTTGCAAATTGTAAGACCTGATTTTGTTTATTTTAAAACCAAAACCCATAATTGCTTTCCCAATTATACGCACGTACACAATGTCTAAAAATAATCTTTTTATCATTATATAAATTTGTAAATACTAATGATTCTATATAATAAACGAAATACTAAAAAAAAAATTCAACATTACGTATTGTTTAACCTATTACTTACCTCCCATACAACTTTGAAATAATAGAATATAATTATAGTAACAATTAATCTATATTAAAATAATATCTTTGTTATTCAAATTATAATTATAAAACCTATGATTTTATAGCATTTGAATATAAATTAATACATATGTGCAATTTTCTTTGAAAGTAGCAAAAAATGTAGATATAATTTTTTGATTTTTATTTATTTTATAAATAAATACTCTTTATATATTGTATTTTATTTAATTAACATATAAAATTATATTAAATTATTTAAATAACAATAATAATATTTTAATAATTAATAATTTCAATTTTAAATATAATGTTAAATTTTACAATTTTTTAAAAAAGTTTTTGGATATATATTTTTGTTATAATTCAATAAATAAACAAATAAATTACATTATATTATATTATTGTTCTTAATAAAATTTATTATTATTGTTGTTGTTATTATATTATAGTTATTATTATTAAATAAACATCAGTTATTTATTGATTTATTTATTATAAAATATAACTATTCCAATAAATAAAAGATCAATTAAGAATTATTATAATTAATCAAAAATAGTTGTTATATATTAAACTATTTGTTTTTTTATTTTTTATTTTTTGTAAGTAAACATCATTTCTTTATTTAATTTGTATATAGCATAATATATATCATGAAAGAAACAATATCTTTCATGTGTTGATACAATGAATTAAATACTAGCTTGCCTACAGTAACCATATGACTAATATTGAAAAAAAAGTTTAAAACAATATATCTTGTCAGATGGCACTGAACAGCTATGAATACCTACTTAGCATCAGGAGAAATAGAGTTGAAATTAGCAGATAGAGTTGTTAAGCTATAAATATATTTGGAGTAATTATATTTAGATTGGATGAATGAATTAGTAATAGTAAAAGGTAAGTCAATAATAATGTTGTTTTATGAGTTATTGGAGTTGTCTTTGGTTTGCAAGGTTTTTTTGATTTCTGGATTGGTGAAGTTGATTGAATTATGTAACTTAGCGTGATTCCACTTGATTCCAGTAAGAGGTGAGGTGTTGGCTATAGAACAATATGGTTTTCAAATTAGATAATGCAACAAGATTAAAGATTCTATTGCTGTCTTGATCCAGTTGGTAGGGTTTGAAGTGAAGAAGATTTTGTTTATAACTCCACATGACAATTTGACAACTTGTCATATATGTATATTAAACTATTTATTTTATTAATTAAAATAACTTTTATATATTAAATAAATAAATTTTTATTAAGTTTGAACAAACTTTTATTATTATATTTAGCAATTTTATTTTAAACAAAAAGATTTTGACCCTATATAATTTTTATATGTTTCAATAAGTACTTTGATATTAATAAATTTTATTTAGTATATATTAAAGTATTTAAATATTAAATTTTATAAATTCTTACCTAGTATTTAAAATTTATTTAATAAAATATACAATTTTTTAAAAATAATAAATATTAAAAATTATTATTATTTTTTTTTTGAAGTGAAACATATACAAGACATGTGATCTTTATTGATACATTTTTATATCCAGAAAGATACCAAGTGTCTTTACAAATTAACTAGAAATCAGTTGGTATATAGATACCCATTATGTCTTCTGCAGCTAATTTGCAGATTAACACTACCTAATATATTGTTAGCAGGGAAATAGCTTCGGTAAGGCCTGGCGACGCGACATTCGCGTAACGCGCCTAATCGGAGTAACGGAAAT